ATTCTCAGATTATTCCTAAATTCACAGCAAACTGTTAATACTGTGGGCTTGACATACTTCACCTGTGTATTAATTCAAACCACAAGAGAAGCCAGTGGGGTTACCATTCTAGGGGAGCCAGCAAACTTTTATTCAATTTAAAAAACAAGGAAAATAACCCTTTCCCAGATATAAACTTAAGTTATTTTTCATTGGCAGAGCTAAACACAACTCTCACAGTAAGGTGACCTATTTAAAACATGTAGATTTAAATTTCATCCTCATATGCTTTAGTAAATAAAATTTTCTAAAAGGTTTGACAAAAGATGACTTGGGAAGAATACAATATTGTCTGCGTGCTTCTATTTGTATAATGATCTGTACCAATTCTAATGACCTTACTATAATCAAAGTTTTAATAATTAAAGTGCATGGCACCTGGTTCAACTCCTAACCCTACCAAACCAACAGCCTAGCAGAAAAAGAGACATGTTTGTCCAGACATCCTTATGTCCTTCCACAGTCAACATCCAGCATTCATTCAAAAATTACAACACATCAAAAGAAAGGAAGGTGAACCAACTGTCAAGAGACACAACAATCAACAGAATGAGACTCAGATATAACCTAGATATTGGAACTGTCAGCCAGGGAACTTAAAAATTACAATCTTATGTGAAAGATTCTACCATAATTTCATCAGAGAGATAAATTTTGAAGAGAATAAACTTTCTAGGCCTAGAGTGATTAGAAGAAATCCAAGTTTTATACTTGAAAGAGAAAACAACAAAATAAAAAGCAAAACTGAATCTACAAAAAAATACTGTAAATACAAAGGACAAAAAGTCAAGTTTAAATTGGGTCCAAAAGATAAGGATATGAAGGATAAACAAGCAATTTTAAAATGAAAAAACTCTAATAATTAATAGCATATGGAATAATGTACAATCTTCATAATATATTAAAAAAGGCAAATTAAAGTAATAAGGTACCATTTCTTGATAATGAACTTAACAAAGATAATGAAAGTGTTAATAATCTAACCTGGTAAGGAAACAAGCAATGGGGAACATTTTGAAAAATGTTTCTCTGTACATATTAGAACCCTTGCAAAGTTTTTGCTCTTTTACTCAGTAGCACTACTTTTAATAACCTATCTTGAGAAAATAAATCCAGACATAGAAAACACTGCACACTCAGGATGTACATCTGAATATTACTTATAATACCAAGATAATGGAAACAGCCTAAATGTCCACTGTGAAGTATCATAATCTTAAAGCAAAACAAGAAGTTCTCAGATTTCCATTTCTTAACTTTTTCCTTCTCTTTCTCCACATCAGGGGCTGTGGGCCTAGGAGGAGAACAGTCACCATGCCATCCTGCACACTTTCCACATTTGGTCCTCCTTTCTTCCCTTGCTGGGGTATTTTGAGTTGTAGCCTGAACCATGCTGTGTAGACTGGACCCTGAACACATGTACCTGCCTTCTTCTACTTCTTGTCTACACTTGCTAGTGGAGAGCTCCATGTGTCCACCTCGTGTTCTAAGGCAGCATTAGACATGGTCTAAATGCAGCTCGGCATGGCCAGGAAGACCCGAGCAAAACTTCCCCAAACAAGCCCCACATGACACAGAATTGTAAAATGGGAAATACAGCCTCACTGCCCACTATCAATAAGAAAGAGCTTTTATATTATCTTACATTAATGCTCTTATTATTTCATACTTGACACAAGATAAACTTGATGATTATGATACTAACATAAGGTAAGTCTGATAACATGAAAATTATAATTGTGACTTTTTGTTACATTCCAACAAATTCCACCTATTTCTGTCTTCATATGGTGCAGCCTTCCTCCATGGCTAAGCCAAATTTCACAATTTCCCCAACCTTTCTTCCTAAACTCCTGTGACTGGTAGCCCCCCCTCCTTCAAACCAGGAACCCATCAGCTCACACCCCAGTCCTCTCTCTTCTGTAGCACCTGGTTTGGATTCCTCATACCTCTTGGCCACAGTCTCAGCCAGGTCACTGGGGTGCTTTCTGGATGTTCATTCCCACCCTAAACAGTTAAACATCTGAATGGACGTGTCTTGTGACAAGAATCGCAGTGGCGCAAGCTGATGGCACAGCCTTCAAGCCAAGCGTGGGCCATGGGGACTCAGCTACATTTCCCAGCAGGACGTAAAGAGCTGCCATGGTCTCTGGGGTCTGAACCCACACTCCCTCCTGAGCTGTCAGGATTCCTGCTCATTTTCAGAGTCCTCTCTTGGCCACATGCCTTGTGAGAATAATTTCATTAGTATAACGCAGTCTTCTTCCAAAAGACTCACAAGTCTTATTTTGATAATTGAGCAAAAGCCCTGGTGAAAAACACTACTTCTTTAACCATAGCTAGTAGTATTCTGAGGGGACCAAAACTTTGATTTTTAGAGGGGATATTTCTCAAAATTTATTTAACAAAAACCTAGTCAAGTAATCTATCTCCTGCTTTTCCAAAAGTCATGCAGTGTCCCTGGCATAAGGTTGGTACCACCTCCTCCGACCATGCCGGCCACTTTGGACAAGGGCCCTCCTTAAATTAAGTTCCCAGATGTGATATGGCAAAACTAGTGCATACTCTGCAGGGTTTTCGTGATCCCTGCCCTAATGAGGTTGCGACTCTGGGGAGCGCGGCACCCAGCACTCAGCAGGTGTGGGCACCGGTGGGTTTCCTCCCTGGACCTGCAAGTCCAGCACCATCCCGGGCACGACTCAGCACCAGGAGCCACCATGGGGGGTGGGGCTGACCAAGGACCAGGGGAAAAAAGCTTAAAGGTTAATGGCTGATCTGTGCAAGCATGATTCAAGTGGAGGGGAGTCACCCAGAATTCGTGTGATGAAGAAACATAAGAAGGCGAGGAAGTGGGTAGAGGAAGGAAGGCGGCCATGTTAGCTGCTGTGTTGAGTCTGCAGGTCCAGGGCAATCAGGCTCCACCACACCCATGCCTGTTTCCCCCGTCACACGCCTGTGGAAGCCCGTCTTGTCTCATCTTGTAAGGAGGGGGCACGTTTCTAGATGCCCACTACACACGCAGCGCTCTGCACCCTCTTGCCCAGACACAGAGGCGTGCACCATCACCCGGAGATGCAGACCCGCCTCCTCGGCTGGTACGGCAGCACTCCCAAACCCACAGACTCGAACCCCCGGCCTTCCCAGCACACACAGGGCCATCCTCTGCACCTGAACATGCATTTCAAATGCTAATGTGTTCATATGTTAAAGTTAAATGTTGATATGATTAGAACTCAGAGGAGTCTTTTTCTACAAATAAAAATATCAAATTGTGGTTCTGATGCACCATTTAATAGATTTCTTAGAACTGAAGCTTGAGTCAAGTACTTCGGTCAATGGACACCAGTGATCTTGTAAAACAGAAGAACACACACTTAAAGAAAGCAGGAGTATTCTGAGTCTCACCCCAATTTTGGAAATGTTAGTGAAGGGATAATGTGTGTCTTAAAACCAAACAAATGTCATACTACAAAACAGACACTTTTAAACATATCTTGAGGTCATTGTTGAAGAAGCGTTCACAGAGATCTTTCTGATAACCGTGTTCAGACAAAATGCAAAACTTTTGGAACAGTGAGACTTTTTGTTACGAATTTCCGCATGCAAAGATAATCAGCACTGGATGGCTTTATCACCGTTCCAAAACCCAACAGCAATTTTATAAAAGTGAACTGCGGTGTTGCATGTTAATGTTTGGAACGTTCATTCCTGTTCTGTGTGGCTACCAGGTCTCCTGAGACTCAGAGGCAGGAAACCGGCTCCCGCACAACCTCCTTCGCCGCCACATCAGGGATCAGTGATCGGGAGGCGCCTGTTCCTCTCACCTCCCGTTCTTCCTCCTAACTGTACTTGAGAACAGTCAGGCGCTCAGAGCAGCTCCTCAGTCCGTTATGCCAGAAGACATCTTTACGTCAGTACTCGATTTTCACAACCACTCTCATCACCCTCCACCTGCGGGTCACGGCGCCCCGCCCTCTGCCCCTCTGCCTCTCACCCGCATCCCGTCTGCACTCCTTCCCTCCTGGACACCCCTTCCCCTCACCCACGCCAGGTCAGGCAGAGGAGTCAAGCAGCAACGCAACTGCAGCCATAGCTAATATCATCAGTGAGAAAGGCGGGCCCCTGTGGTCCGCGCAGCACCGCCTTATGTCGGGGCAAGCGAATCATAATCACACATGCGTACAACACTTGAACCCAAACGCCCCCCCGCAGTGGACTGCGTGGCTACCTCATGGTTAACGTGGAATGAGCCACGTGAGGGCCTCCGTGGACAGACGGGGCTCTGTGGTCGATGACGTGACCAGCCCATCGCATCTGTGCCTCCGACATCCAGTGTCACCAGAAGCCAGACCATGCCCGAGCGTCCAAGGTGCCTCCACCGCAGCAGAGCACGGGGAGAGTAGGTGCGTCCCCACTTCCATCACACGTGGACGCGCGCACGAGCCAGGCTGATCCACGCAATCACATGGTAATGCTATGCTCTGAATCGACATTCCCAAATACTCACACTACCAAGTTTTGACAACTGGTATTTTAAGGCAAGACCGCACACTTTCCCGGGTGATTGAGTTGCAGGTGGTGCAACTCTCTCCTCCTCATTTCTCCCAATTACATGAATGCCTTTAAATTTTGTGGTTCTCCTCCTCCCCTGCCCTAATTCTGTGCATGAGACTCTTCTACACCCTTTCCTCAGCCGCTCTGGGACTCGCCGGCTGCAGCATTCACACTAGTGCCCACAGACATGCCACGTTTTCCACAGTCGTAGCAAGTGCGCTGAATGATGAACACATTCACAGAGGACACACTTGCGCTCCCACAGCTGCCTCCCTGCACGCGATGGAAACTGGCGTGTCACCTTAAACATGACAGCATTTCACCAAAACAAAGGCCAGCAGATACAGAAAACGCGAGGAAAGCCTTGTAGGGAGTAGAAGCGCCCCCCCTCAATGAGAAGACTATACCTGGGGGGCTGACGGGCTGAAGGCCACGCCAGTCACGGTGTCCGTGTGTCCAGCCAGTCTGTGAGAAAATGTGCTCGAACCCACATCATACATGTACACCTGCAAGACAAACACATGGGACTCCCTGCTGAAAGGGCCAACAGCCAGTGAGGACGTGCACCATAGCAGCTCCCCTGTGGCCAGGTGACATCACAGATGCAGGTCACCTGACAGACCAGTGCCCCCGAGCCAGACAACTGACTCCACGATGCATGCATTTCTTCCCCTTGCCTTGTCAGGTCTTCATCGCGGCCCCAACTGCCTCCATAGCCCAACCTTACCTGCAAGTCCCAAACTGAGTGGAAAAGGGGGGTTTTACTGTCCTTTCCCATAAACTTGAGACAAAACCTCCTACTCTTTGCTTCCTACTAATTAACCTGGAATTCAAGTATTTTGAACTTTTTCTATGGCTGTTGATAAAAATAAAAACTTAGTGAATTGTACAAGACCGATGAATCACGGATCTGTACTTCTGAAACAAATAATGCAATATATGTTAAGAAAAAAAAAAGAAGGTAGCAGGAGGGGAAGAATGAAGGGGAGTAAGTCGGAGGGGGAGACGGACCATGAGAGACGATGGACTCTGAAAAACAAACAGGGTTCTGGAGGGGAGGGGGTGGGGGATGGGTTAGCCTGGTGATGGGTATTAAAGAGGGCACGGTCTGCGTGGAGCACTGGGTGTTATGCACAAACCATGAATCATGGAACACTACATCAAGAACTAATGATGTAATATATGGTGATTAACACAACAAAAAATTATTAAAAAAAACTTACATTCCTCTCTAATTGTATTACCATATGAAAAGATGTGTATGTATGTAAATATACACATAGACGCCATCAGACACTTCATTTTAGTGACAGAAATCTGGGGTTGGATGCCATGCTGATGTGATATAAGAGACGAGAGATCCATTCGAATTTGTAAGTAACAAAATGTGCAAACAAGTATTCTGTAGACTCTACTGGTAATAAAGAGAAATGCCACATCATAGCAGAAGCAAGACATCTAGGCGATTCCTTTTCCACAAAAAACCTATTTTAATGTATAAATGAGCCCTTCAAATTTAGAACTCCCAGATGATCCTGTCATTGGTAAACAGTGGTTTCTGAAATAAAGTCTACAAGTAGATATCACATGTATCTTGGAGTGGAGAGATCAAAAGTATGGATTTTTTCTTCTGACCCAGATGTGCTTATTTGAAAAGCAGCTCCTAACAGTTCCCAAAGTGGGCCACTGCTGCTGCCCCGGGACTCCACTTTGAGAACCCCTGGCCCAGCAACAGTCACACTGTGCAGTTCATCACCGCCTACAGCTCATTTCACAGACAAACATCAGGTACCCTCATATTCACGCCGGGGAAGGAGGACACACGGAGACTACGTGACTGGAATGGACATCGGGCGTCAACACTGACATTCTAACCGGGTTTTTCTGACTCTAAGCTTGTGTGTTGTTCTGTGAGGCCGCCTATGACCTCGACTGTCCACAGAGGACTCGGGGCCTCTTCGGACTCGCTGCCCTTCCAGCGAGGACTCAGCACCAGCCTCACCGCTCCACCGGTCTCCCTGCAGGACACGCTCACATGAAATGCTCTCGTGAATAGCACTGGAGGGCTTCCTGGAACTCAGGACCCTCCTCGCATCTACCGTTCGGATTAGTGGCTAAGGGGACCCACAAGGGCCACAACTCTCCGGCACGTGTCATGTCTGATCATCACACAGGGAGGTTAATGAGGATGGCACAGGCTCACCACACACGGACGTGTCATCCTGTCCACCTCCGAAGACACAACTATCACTGTCCCCGCTCCGCAGACAAGGACACCAGGGCACACAGCTGCTCACGTCACAGTCCAAGCTCCTCGCCGACACACGGTGGGTGCCCTGACCGGAGCCGCGCCCCGCTCGGCATGCTCCCATCACTGTCATCTGTGCACGCGTGTGGGTGCCAAAGACTCAAAGCCACACTGGCCAGTGGCACAGCCAGCACAGACCCCTGCTGGCGGTTTCCAGTGAGGCTAAACCCACGTCAGCCCGCACACCCACAGCCTCACTCCTCGGTGTTAGCCCAAGAGAAACGCAGTGTCCACACAAAGACCTGCACAAAACTCCTCAGACAGGTGAACCGACAACTACTTTATGCCCCATACATAAACTGTGTGCCAATAAAAAATGTAATTCTTAGAGGCATACGTTGGTCACACACCCCCTGAATCTCTCTAGATCCCAAACCATGGAGAGAAAGGAGGAGCAAACGTCTCAGCATGTGGGCGTCTCCACAGGGAAAACCACCCTGGAAAGGTGCGCTGCGCTCCGAGAAGCCCACGCGCAGGGAAGTGACCACCGGCGCTCAAGGAGAGCCCCAGCTGTACCACACTCGGGAAGCAGGAAAGGGGCCGGCGTTCGAGGTGCGCAACATCAAGGTGACCTGTGACCTGGGGGAGATGAGTTGGACGGGTGAAGGAAGAAGCAAACATGCAGAGAAGCATGAGGGCTGGAAGCCATGAAAGCAAAGGATTTCAAGAAAGGAGAAACAGTGGGAAAGAGGCTGGGTGGTGAGGGAGTTGGGCTGGTGGTGCTAATGTTCCGGGAACCAGCTTCAGTACAACGTGGGACATAAATCCAATTACAGAAGTAGTTCAAGTACATGCTGATGGCTCCGGTTCACACGGTTAGACTCCAGGGAACATGCATCCGGGCTGATGGAGAACAGCAGAGACCACAAGGCAGGGAGACAGAGGCTTCGAGCGGAGCAGCCGCAACGCAGCAGGAGGGGACAGCTGGAGGGGCCGGGCAGAGAGGGAGCTGCTTCTCCCTCCCACCCCGGGAAGGCCAGAGCAGCGGGAAGTGGACAGGTGCGGGTGGGCTCTGATGAGACCACAGGCTCTGAAGGTGGTCTGACTCTTTTCAGAGCAGCATCTGGAAAAGTCCTTCCTGTGACTTCTTCTGTTTTTACCGAATTTTGAGTGGGGATTAGCACTGCCTTGCATTGGCAAGGATCTCACAATGCTCATAAAATGATGCCATGATATCAGGAAGGACGTCTAGATAAGGGTCATTTAAGAAACAGCCTTTCATTTTCTGTATGAAAATGCTTTCAGGTGTGGGAGAAAAGATGGCAGAGGTGTAGGGGACCCTATTCCAACCAGTCCCAGAATTGAGCTGGATATCTACCAGACCACTCTGAACACCCACGAAATCAGCCTGAGATGTAAGAAAATAGATCTGGATTTCCACAAAAAGAATATCGCGGGCGGTTGGTTTCAAGGTACGAAGTGGGAGCCGTGATTCCGTGGGCAGATTTCGGAGGATAAATGGCAGCAGGAGGGAGCCTGGCCATGGGGAATCCTACACCGCCAGTGAGCAACAGCCTCGCGTGCTGGGGACGGGGCACAGACTCACAGACCAGTAGCGGCGGGGAAAGGATTTTAGGGCAGCCCCCAAGACGGAAACCCAGAGCGGTGGGGGTCGCGCGTGCGAACTGGGAGCAGCTGGCAGTTTTATGGCACAAAGGGCAGAGACATGCCCCAACCTGGAGGCGAAGACTGGGAGCACTGATGAAGGGCGCACAACCCAGAACACTGCAGTTTATAGCAGCACAGACAGAAACAGAGACAGTGTGGCCTTGAGAGCTCACCGAAGAGGAGACTGTGATCTCTCTGCTCTGAGGCAGAGGGTTGGAAACGGTCTCCTCTCCTCTGACTCGCGGAAGAGACACGGAAAGCCACCAGGGAAAGCCGCCAGAGAACAAAAGCCCCAAAAACTGGTTCCCTCTGAGCCCATCCCCCACCACAGGGGGGCAGGACAACTCTGCCCAAACAGGGCTGCCTGAGTAACAGCGTGGCAGGCCCCTCCGCCAGAACACAGGCTGGGAAAACAAGAGGCCAGCAACCCTAAGATCCCTAGAAACAGGTGCATCTTGCTTGGGTTCTGGTCAATAATTCCCTCAACCACCCATCAACAGAACGACTAGGAGGAGGAACCCCCAAATTAGAAAAGACTCAAGAGATTATGACTAATGCTGCAGATTTACAAATGGATGCAGATATAACCAAGATGTTGGAGATGGAATTCGGCTAGCAATTGTGAAGACAATGGCTAGAATGGAGAAATCAATCAAAGGCAACATAGATTCTCTAAGGGCAGAAATGAAAGCTGAATTGGCAGAACTTAAAAATGCTATCAATGAGATCCAGTCCAATCTAGATAATCTAACAGCTAGGGTAAGTGAGGCAGAAGAACGAATAAGTGACCTGGAAGACAATTTAATAGATAAAAAGGGAAAAGAGGAGGCCAGGGAAAAACAACTCAGAATCCACGAAAATAGAATCAGAGAAATAAGTGACACCATGAAGTGTTCCAATTTCAGAATTATTAGAATCCCAGAGGGAGTGTAGAGAGAGAGAGGACTAGAAGATATATTTGAGCAAATCGTAGCTGAGAAATTCCCTAATCTGGGGAATGAAACAAACATTCATGTCCTAGAGACAGAGAGGACCCCCTCCCAAGATTAAGGAAAATAGGCCAACCCCCCGGCATGTAATAGTAAAACTTGCAAATCTTAGAACCAAGGAAACCATCTTAAGGGCAGTTGGGGGAAGATATTCCTTACGTACAGAGGGAGGAACATCAGGATAACGCCAGACCTGTCCACAGAGACCTGGCAAGCCAGAAAGGCCTGGCAAGACATATTCAGGGTACTAAACGAGAAGAACATGCAGGCAAGAAGACTTTATCCGGCAAGGCTGTCATTTAGAATGGATGGAGAGATGCAGAGCTTCTGAGACCGGCAGAAACTGAAAGAATATGTGACCACTAAGCCGGCCCTGCAAGAAATATTAAGGGGGATTCTATAAAAGGAGAAAGACCCCAAGAGTGATATACAACAGAAATTTACAGAGACAATCTATAAAAACAATGTCACACAGGCAACAGGATCACAATTAATTCATATCTTTCAATAATCACTCTCAACGTGAATGGCCTAAATGCTCCCATAAGACGGCACAGGGTTGCAGACTGGATAAAAAGACAGGACCCATCCATATGCTGCC